CGAAATGGATCCCAAGTCTTCAACCGGTTTCACACATCGGCGGTAATTGTTAGAGATTTTGGGTCTGTTGTCGATCGATGTCATCAACTCTTCTCTGGCAAAAAACCCTGACATAAGTATTGCAACAAAAAACATATCATTAGAGTAAATACAGTAATCAAAAGTTTAATATTATAAAATAATTTTGTAACACATAATAAAGTGAAGCGATTTTCCTCATAATTATGTCATACCTGAGGGCCAGACGTAAGCAATCAAATCATTCCAACAAATCAAATGCAAACGAACAGTAGATATGAGTTCTTCGCACAACTCTTCGTTTAATTCTGGATTCAATTTAATGTATTTCATGATTGCATTGAATATATCGATCTCTTCGGCGCAAAACTCGTCGCTTGAGAACAATTGAATCAATGTTTGCGAACTGAGACTCAGAAGCGATGAATTGGATAATAGTTTATATCCTTTGCGTAAAATAAATTGATGGCAATTCTCCAGAAGCGGACACATGTTGAATAGAGAGGCCGTCGCGTGTATTAAACACACGTTATTTTTATTTATATTCAATTCGAGGTATTCAGTGATCGCCGAAACCAATTCATGCATTTCGTATCGATGGCCTGATAGACAATATAATTCATATTAATTAAAAATAATAATTACAAATGAATAACAAATAGAGAAATAAATGACAATTAATGGTAAACTGACTTAAATATAACACATCGATAATGTCGTCGACTTTCTTATTATGCAAGTGAATGACTCCGGTATACATGAAATAGAGTACAGATTTGAAGGCATCGATTGGCGTCTCATTCACTTCCACTTCATTATCGATGGACTCTCGCAGACCAGAGGAGAACATAAGTCGGAAGTATTCGCACCGAAGGATTAAAACAAATTTATGGGCAAATATGCGCTCATTTTCAATGATAAACACGACATCACTCGCCCTTTCGTTCAGATAAAGAGCCGATAACTCATTGAGTAGTGTTTGCGATAGATTTATAATGTCATTGCAATGGTTTGGAT